AATGCAAATGTTACAAGATATCTATGATCGACGACATATTGGAAATATTGCAATAGCAAGTGATTGGATCGCTGAAAAAGTTACCGTACGTGAATCACATCATGCACCATATCGTTACGTAATGGCACGGTTATTTAAAAAATTTTCATTAAATGTCGAAATTTTGAAGAATAAGTAAAAAGATTATAATCATTTAATGCTCTTTGTTTTTATATTCCGGTGAACCGGATTTTTCTTTTGATCATTGTAAACTTTTTCTTATTTTAATTTTATTTAATTAATTAACACTTTTTGTTATTCTAATGGAAACAATGAAGGATGGAAAATAATTTCATCAAAAAAGAAAAATTCAACTTTTATCATTTCACTTCGTTGAAATTCATGAAAATGCTGCAGTTATGTCAAAAAAGAAACCATTTGATAAATCTAAACATTGAAGATTGTATAAATAAAATTGCCATTTCAATATTTTTGTTTTTAATTACTAATAATATTCTTATTTTTCACACAATCCTTCATGTCTTATTCTTCCAGGTATCATTTTAAAATATGTGAAAATTATTTCGTCTAATTCATCAATAAATCTGTGGTAAAAAATAATGAAGACAAAGTAATCTTTATTTCATCAAATAGTTTAGAAATTATTTCTAATAAAAATATAGTATAGATTAGGATAATATGTAATTGCATTTTGAGATGCATTGTTTGGACAATATATATATATATATTTCATCAATGTAAGTTAGCATTTTTGCAGAATGTTATATTTTCAAAATTGGATAGACACTTTGCAACTTATTTCATCCAAGTCTGCAAGAAAATATTCGATGTGATGAGCTTTAACAAAATATCATTCTGTACTAAAACAAAGGGATAGCATATCATCGATAGCATCAAATAACATTGTTCCTGATCAAATGTAGATTAAGTTAAATGAAAGAAGAGTGACCATTACATTTTTGAGAAAGTATCATACGAGATGTTATATACCAAGCAATTAAAATATTTGAAGAGAAAGAAACAATGACCAGTAAAGCCATGCATGATATTAATTAAATTTCTAATTAAATGCCCAACTGAGAGAAGCATAAAGAGAAACATATTTCCTTTTTTAAAGAGGGGGAAATGAGAGATGAAGAAAATAAAGCCAAGTAAGGCATAAATAATAGAATCTAAGCCAGAACTTCCCTGTCCACTTAATCATTTTTCAAATGTGACAGACAAATATACACATCATTAGCGAAAGGAAAATAAAATAGAGGATATGAGCTATTTGTTGTAGACGAAAAATGAATATGATGAGGTCAATTGTCGTTTGCAAAGAATAAGAAATTCTATTTTGTCATCTGTTCACCTAATAATCCAATTCAAATAATATGATTTCGGAATCTCACAAAAACAATTTCCTAATCGATAAGCTATCTTTCAATATTCATATCTATGCAAAATAAGAAAGTAAATAAATTTTTAGTTTCCATTCATTTTTATTTCTGAAATTTGATTATATTGCAATTAAGAATTACCAGTAAATAATTGCATATTTTCTTAGCAAGCATTAATTACTAAGACAAGTTTTTCAACGTGCAAGTAAATCTTAAAGCTTTAATGGATTGCATTTTTATTCCTTCAACTGGTTTTCCATTAATTTAAGCTTTCAGAATGGATAATGAGATGCCTTTTAGAAGGAACAAGAATTTGTGAAAAATGGATGAATTACTGAGATCTAATGTAATTTTAAAGTAGGAGAAAAAAAATAAAAGAATTTCCGGTAATTTACTATTAAAAGAACTCGTTTAGCGTAGATGGAAATTAAAAATGTTGAAGATGGTGTGGTAAGAACGTAGATTGAAACGAAGAGTGTGGAAGGGATGATTACAGAATCTAGAATGGAATGGAATGGATCCTCCTATCCATTCAACATCCTTATAATCCTTCAACCTTATCCATTAATTCCTTTTTTTCTGTTTTCTTTTTAATATCATTTATTTGTGAATGTGCCGACAGCACGCAAAAATATTTTATAATCTTCATTATAACACAACTGTGCATTCATCACAATATCATACGAACATAAAAATTCTTTTCTTCCTTCTTCCTGCGAAGTTTTGTTCGCCTTCCCTAAATCTTCTAAATCATTTCAAACGATTCTATTACTAATTCAATAATGTAGTAGAAAGTTATTGTCTGATCAAACTATCGCTGTTGTATATTATTTTCAGCAACATTGTCCCCTTACACTACTGATATATTTTTGCTTGATTTGCATAAAGTAATATGAAATAAATTTAAATGAGATTAAAATTATTCGATTCTAATAATTGAGAATTAGCTGAGAAAATTCTAGCATCATTGTTGCAATTTCATTTGTTGCAGTGATGATTTGTGTTATTTTTTAATCTTTGAAGATAATGATTTGTAGATGATCGATACGATAAACTAATATCATTTCGTTCCTGCATAATTTAAACTGATCCATCATTTCATCCGTTCATATCACAAGCAATCGCGACATTCCTGACATTATGCAATCATTTATAATGATATTCTTATGGATGAGTTATTGCTTCGTGTCATGTACTGAGCCGGCGGTAAGTGCCATTTATAAACAATTGATGAAACAATATTTTAAAAAACTCAATCTGAGCAATTTATGATCGATTAGAAGCTTTTTCATTTGAGACAAACTGGGAGGATATTTATGAATACTGCAGAATCTGACGTAAATACTTTGCTTGTTTTATAGGGAATTTAGAAATTCTGATTTAGTAAAAATTTGATTAGCAAGAAATTGCAGAATGATTTGAGTCCTTCTGAAATTGCATGAAGTTTTTGTTGTGGTATAATATACCAAATGAGAATTGAAATTACATTGCAATGATTATAACAGAGCAGATCATAGCATGAGCTTAGACTTGCTAGTCTTATTTTAATCCTAGGCTAGATAATGAGTGATATATTGGCATGAAAAATGCAGGATGTAATTAATTTAACTTTTTTGTTATTTATTTTAATTCTAAAAGAATAATAGTAATGCTGATCATTCGATTTATTACGCTGACTGCACTGGTGTGTTTTATAGTATGTGATAATCCTTTAACAAGCATTTATAGATCGATAATATCCGAGTCCGAAATGGGATCAGAAAATTACAACATCATTCCAGAAATAATGTAAATGATAAGACAAAATGGCGACAATTGATAACTGGTGAAATTGGTAGGATAGTTGCTGATCAGATGTTTGGGTGGTTAGGGCAATGAACTGCAAATCCATTGGGATTTCCTCGCTTAAGTTCAAGTTTCATCCTGGTTATTGCTTTGTTAACAACCTCTTTAGGATGTTAATATCATAAGGCCTCTTTTAGCATAGATCTTTGCCATAAAAAAACTTCGATAAATTGTAAAATAAGTGAGATTGACTTTAATCTCAATAGTACTTCTGATTCTGTTCTTTGATAAAAATTAAGTAGCACCAAGGGCCAAATCATCATCATTCGTGAAGAAATCTTATGGATTATCATCTGGAAGTTTCAAATCAACTAATTCTCGCTTTCATAATACAAGGGATCTTCAAGACTGGTTAGTTCCATTTCAAATCTTACACTGAAAGAAAGGGCATTTATTGGCAATTCGGATTATGTGACGAAACCAATCACTAGAATAAGAGAATATCTAACATTTCGGATAAAGCATCTCTTAGTAATACAGCACAATCGGATACTGGACATCGCATATACAAAAAAGTTCAGAATGCGAGTTATTTAATTATTTATTTTAATTCATCCGATCTTTTTGGCTCTCAGCAAAACAAATTAATTGGTTTGATTTAATAACAATAGAAATTTAAAGATCAAATATGTCGAATTTTTCTTCCAGTAAACGCTGCAACCAGTCAATGCAAATAATGCATGCACCTTATCTACATATTTCATCATCAGATGTTATTGCTCCTTTTTATGGTACCATTTAAATTTCTCAATTAAACTTATACAATAATTCATCATCACATACCATTTAAAATATTTTGTTAATTGTTAAATCATCATAGTTTTACTAAATTGTCGTAATTTCAACTACATCATAACTTTTTGTGTTTTATAGGCACTGATAGGAGTAGTAGACATAGTGTTGGTAAAATTAATGGGATTAGTATACCGTGGAAACGTATGATGAAGTTCCCAAAGACGCGAGTTGAATATAGACCAAAAGGATTCAAAACAAGAGTTAATGTCAGTTTTCTTCATTTTACATATATTTATTGATTTATTTAATATTTCTGATTTTTATTATTCACTGCATGAATAAATTATTGATGTTTGAGTATTGATGTTTCATTTAAACTTACAATTTTTAGGGTAATTCAAATGAAGTTGCTTTCGCTCCAAATGTTAGCAAATTAAATTCAACGTATGTTATTGAATTTCATAAACGTTGAATATTCATAATTTCCTCTTTTTCTTCAATTAAACTAGAAGAATTTTTATATCTTATTGAAATCATTATCATATCAGTTAGCTTATTAAACAACCATATTACAGCCATTTATCTCCTTATCAGCAACAACGACAGCATAACATTTATAAGAAACAATTTCAAACTCCAGTTTCCTTTTCCTCATCTCGAACACAAGGACATGATGCAGTGAAACCATCACTTTACTACAATCCTTGGGATCCATTCGGACTACTTAATAATCCGGTTTTTCTTTCATTTATTTATTGATTTTTATTTTTGAAGACTAAATGATGATTTTTGCAAAAAGATATAAAATTAAAAACATGAAATTTTTTTGACATCAAATATATCCGCAAATGTCATTAATATACCATAAATTTAGATTCTCTCTTCTTTCTTCTTCGATTAAATAAAAATGCAATTAAGATTTAATGAATTAAATTATTAAATCGTAATTTTTTAAGTTCAATTTTGTAGAAATTGCAGTTCTGGAAGTCAATTTTTCCAAATCTTTTTGCTCCACAACCACAGTTATTGGTTTCAACTACATTAAAACCTGCTCGAGGTTTTTACAACTTTTCAATTTTCATGTTCCGTAAAAACAAATAATGGGAATTATTACAGTTCCTATTCTGGAAAATTTGCTTTACACAATTAAAAGTTGTATAAAATTGTTGAAGGTGTTAATTTGCAAGAAAGGTTAAAGTTACCGACGAAATCCTCCATATCACCAAACCAAAAACTCGGTCTATGCTGCAGAAAACAAAAGCTTTCAACATCATGCCAAAATTTATGCAATTACGATACATTCACTGACCGATCGGTAAGCATCTTCGCTTGTTTGTAATTGATTATATGCTAATCTTTTGTTTCAAAATTTTTTTTTAAATTTTAAAATGATCAAATTTTTTGCCGATTAGAGTTTTGATTGAGAATTCAAATGAGCTCTAAAATTTCAAGCTTAATGAAATTAAAAGATGGAATTAGTTAAGATAGTAGAGAAAACTAAATGCTTAAAGAATAAATATCAGGTTTCTCAATCATTCGACTGATTTAATCAATTAGATTTGTTCATTTGTTTTCTTAATTACATTTGTTCATTTGTTTTCTTAACTGCATTTGCTGCTTTTTTAAAAAATTTCGATGGGAATTTCAAATTTCAACAAAAAACAAGCAATGTAGTTCAAAATTGTAATATTGTAAACAAGTTAAGTCTATTTAAGTCGTTAGCTATCAATGATTTGATTTGAATATTTGTCATATTAAACTTTGCTTTAGCTTGTATCCGCGGTGATAACGAATCAATGTCCCGGTTATGAGCTTGAATCGGCTTTCAATTGTGCCACTTCTGGGGTATTTTGTTTTATTTAAATCAGAAAATTTTCAAATAATCAAATCGGAAACATAAAAGTGAATCAAATGTTCTACTGTATCGCAGATTTTTCATCTCTATTATGTTGTTTTCTCATCCATTATTTTCTTTTGTGAAATCAAAATTTTATTTCGGACACTGTTTAATCTGTTAGTTACTTAAGATTGATCAGAATATGTATGATAGGCCAATATAATGTTTATGCATAGCATACTATTAATAGCTTCTTTTATTTCAATAATAATTTAAAATGAATTTCACAGGAATTTTATCATCTTTATTGTTATCTACCAAATACTGCAGGCTGATCATTCCGCTTGTTGCAAGAAAAATGGTATCGGTGAGTACAGGAATGGTTATTGCATGGTATTTTGTACGACACATCTTGGTATGCCACACAATACATTGAAATACATCGATTGTCTAAAAGTTTTTGATCGCATTAAAAATTGCTATAGAGAGTATCATGTAGTAAATCCGAATATTTATGGTGATTTATGAAGTATAAAAGTGAAAGAATACTTCATTAGATTCATTAGAAACTGCTTAAATATTTAAGCAATATATTTAATTATTAAACATATTGTTTAAATATTTCAACATATAATTATCAATAAATGCGATATATCATCGAAAGAATGGAAGAGATCTTTGTTGGCTGAATCGAAAAGAGAAATGTATTATCAAGAAGAATTTGTTAACTTCTTTTTTTCAAACTTTCTGCTCCTAATTTTGATTTATTGCTAGAATTTGAAATTGATTCAACTTTTCGACTCTTAATCTGATTTCTATCCATTCGGGATAGTTATACAAAATGATCAGTGCTTTCTTTATTGTTTATCAATGAGATATGTTCAATTGATCTTCTCTCAATGATTCTCCCACATTATCAATTAGTCGATTTTGATACGCTCATGAAATTTATTTTTTCTTTGCATTTGTATTCATTGACCTTTGACTTTTTTTGAATGTTTGCATTTATTGTCCATTGAATCCGTCATATTAGCCTATCATTTTTCATAATTTTACTTTGTTTCAGTGATTGACCTTTTAATTTTGAGAACAGAAGACAATTTTGAAAAATCAGAAATTTCAAAAGAAAACAAATTAAGGAAGTTCATTTTTCCGCTATGTTAGAATTTATTAGAAGGAAGTATTATTCATAAATGTATTGTGGTTCCTTGTCTTGTTCAATGATTTATTGTTCAATTCGGTCCAGAAATTTTCATGATGTACAGACGATCGGAATGAATCATAGCATATCAACAACATCAATTGTTTTTATCTAAAATTAAATTATTTATTAATTAACTTCAGAAAATTTTGATTCATGTAAAGATGCTATTATAATATAAGATATTGCAAAATTTTCAGATATTATGTAATATATGAATTTTATTGGGCCAATTATATGTGACATACTGATTTCTTCCAATCTTTTTTAAACAATTATAAATACTAGAATGTACAATAAAGGGCTATGTAACATCACAAGACAGCCATGAGATGACAACCTTATTTTATTGTTTATTTGCATGGTTGAACTCAAGTGAAATAAAAGTGATGAGATAACCTTAATTGCGCTTTAATTGTAAGTTAAGCGCTTCTGTCAGATCATATCTCCCAGAAGAGATAATCTATTCCATAAGACCAAATAAAAGTAGTATGTCGAATTTCAACGAGAAGGTTGACTTTATTTTTGAAACTAAATATAGATTCATTCATGAGTGCAGGAGTGTTCGTTCCAGTTTCCTTTTAGTCTGACTATTGTTAAACTATCTTGTAATACCGAAATTGATTAGCAGGGCGTTGTCTACTCAGATGATAAAATTTAAAACTTATTCGATATTAAGCGAACTACAGGAATGAATAATAGTTGATGAAAGCTGTGGCGACTTTGGATTAATAAAATAAAGTATATGGTATAAAGTATATAGATTAATAAAGTATATGGCAAAAAATTCATAAATAGATTTTATGAAACAGATACTTATTTCATTACAAAGGATGAGATCTTCTGATTGACAATTGCAAGAATTGGAAGAATGAACAAAAGAAGCTAATAATAGTGCAATTAAGAGAAGTGATAAGGTCTGAAGGATGGTTTGGTTAAATTGATGCATATGCCTCGATGAACTGTTGATTGGTTGCATTGGTTCAAAAGACAGTTCCAATAGACTGTCTTAAAATTTGACATGCCTATGAATTTCCAAACAGAGCAGTTTTAAAAGCGAAAAGGTCGGATGTGAGAAATGGATAATTCAAGTTGATACTATGATTTCAAAAGTTTTCCATTGAGGCTTCGGTAAGATGCAAACTTTTAACAACGCTCTCTTTTCAAACGTGCGCGGACACCTATCGATCGTTCATAGTTAATATAAAAGTACAGTAATTTACCACCAAGAGAAACGGAACAAAACAAGAAAGACACGGAAGAAATAAAATGAAATTTAGATGCTTTTTCCATTAGAATCAATAACTGATTCATTGCAGGTAGCGAAATTAAAATGGTAATCGACATGGAAATGAATAATGATTTCACTTTACGCCTACATCCCAACCAGAATAAAATTCAGTTGACAAAAATCCGCCTAAACAAAATATATAGTCAGCTAATTCGAATTTTGTGGCACAGTACATCTACTAGTTTGATAATGCGTTGTTGAAATTTGTTAAGTCAAATCAAGTTCAACGAACAGTAAACAGTATTTCAGACCACAGAAGTTAACGAATGTTTTTCGAAATGCAACAGACATAGTTGATTTTTAATTGTAATTATGTCCCAGTCCTGTTTCCGCTTTTTTAAAAATAGATAGGTGATAGTGTAAAAGTATAAAGGATAAGTGATAGTATAAGGGTATTGAATCATTAGCATTTTGAACAAAAAACTACAACACGGTAACTTTTATCGCCCTGCGATATGATCGAAGTGAAAAGATATACCAAACTAAGATCTCCATTTCATATATTTTCCGGATTCCTAGATATTATGCTTTATTAAAATGTATGAAAAATCAAACTTAAATATGTTTTAAGTTAAATATGTTAATATGTGACAAAATTTTAGGACATAAAAAGCTGAAAATGCTTATTACTGTTTTATCAAAAAAAAAAAAAAATACTTCAGAATTTTGACATGAAATTTAATCGTACAACAATGTAGAAAGTAAAATAGTGGGTGTGTATGAAAAGAGAGAAATGAAGGAAGGAGATAAATGGAAATGGTGACAGGCAGTAAGCAATACAAAGTGTAAGCAAAACTTTGAAAGCTTTTTGAATGAATTTGAAATTTGGGAAAAGAGACAAATGGAATGCTTGACCAGCGAAAGATAGAGAAATAAATGTTAAAACAAATACATCATACTTGGAATCATCAAAAGCAGAAAAAGGAAATTAGAAATATACCCGAATAGGAGGATGATGATATGGATAGATATGATAAATAAACAATGAATTATCATCCAAATACAAACAGTTATGAAATAAATGAATAAGTTAATTTCATCAAAGAATTCCATTAATGAAGTAGCTATTTAAGAGTGGAATTAAACAAATGATAAATGATGAGGATGATAACTCACTGGCTAGAAGATGATACTTTATTGTAATTAGTGAACAAATAATACGTTGTTTCAGTGATAAGATAGTTCTGTTAAAATATAAGATAATGTGATAAGCTAAAACTTAGATAGATAGAATAACAAGTAAATATGAGCAATAATATTAAATTTCAAATATTTAGCACCTGATATGACATCAAATGTGATAATTAGTCAAAAAAATAAATGTGATAATTAGTCAAAAAATTTCGCTAATGAATTATTTAATTATATTCGTTTTGGATTACAAAATTTTACAGTTTCTCATATTTGCTATTAAAATCAAAACATACAGCCGAAGTCTTCATAAATGGCATGAAAAAGAAATTCGAATAATAAGATTTTCAGGATTTCAAGATTTTCCGAAGTGAAATTCGGGAATGACCTTGAATCTTTCATGATTCCAGAAATTCTCTTCAAAAAACATTAGCATATATTAGTGAACTTCTTTAACAGTGTCACCGGCTGTTGCTGATTGAGACAAAAGTACCGTCGGTTGAGAATGTGATTGCCGACAATTCGAAATGACAGAGTTTGTGAGATCTAAGTCGTCATCATCGCAGTTTTCTAAGGGTTTTTTTGATATTGACAAAATTTTAAAAGTCTGAGAGATAGTTGGGGCGGATCCTGCAATACATTGTTCACTATCAACTGTGGTTGCAATGTGGCAACGCATAATGTGAGAACTTGGTTGGGAATTGGGTGTGTTGATAAGTTCTGTACCGATCACATTACGATAGTGCAACTCGTGATGTTGACGTGCACCTACAAGATAGATACATTATGAAATGTGGTAAATAATCAAAGGTTACAAAGAATGAAATCAGTAAATAGGAAATATTCAGGGTTTAATTATGCTATAAATGCACATGTGATAAGATTTTTTTCGATGCTATGAACATGAAAGTTTGCAGTTTCTGCATTAACTTGTAGAAATTTGAGATTTTATGAAGTTGTTGAAGTTTATGAAGTTTATGAATACTTATGAAGTTTCAGAACAGATGAGACTGACCTGACTGTACCATTACTGTATTATCATTTTCAGACTGAGCCAATGCCATGTAGTTTAAATTATGCTGTCGATTGTTGTTGGCGTTTGTTAAATTTGTGATCCTTTGCGGCAGTAATATATCAGGACGGGAAATGGAGTTATTACCAGATGAACTTGATGATTTCTCATGACTCATATTCTTCTCATTCCTTGATGATTTACTACTCTCTTTGTTACGCTTCGGCCAAACGAACCATTTCGGGGCTTCTTCAACTTCGATACGCTGAAAAGTAGTAATAATGCACATCTTCGATATTTCAATATACATATTTATATATATCAATATATGTATATTTGTTAATAATTCATTCTTCACATATTTTGGAGAGTACATGGAATTTTCAGGAAATAAATTATCGAAAACAATCCACTGCGCAGTAAATAACTTATTGTAAGTGTAAACATAATAATAGTCCACACAATAATGACCTTAGTATTTAAGATTGCTATCGCTTATCATTCTGTAATCATTGTTATTACTTGACGTTCTTTTAATTCCATTATATTTTTTAATATAACTAAATGAAATGCATATTCACCTATTTACTTTTAAGAACAACATTTATTTGGAAAGAAATAAGCTTTATAATGGATGTTTACAAATGATGTATCGTGTGGAATGGAGGTCATATAGAGGTCATTGAAGATTTTAACTACATTTAGCCAATAGATCAGATTGCTAAGTAGTACAGAGAATAAGAATTGTTTATAGCTTTCCCAACATTGTTGATGTCTATTTCAAGTATACAATAATCGATCGTTTTCCAATAAACAAATACTGACTTTTGAATTTTTGCTTGTTGTAGTGTAAAAAATAATCAAAAATTATTTTCGTCCATTCATATTATTTAATGACTATAAAATGTTAAATAATTTTACTCCTATTTCTTTTATTGCTTTCCCTATAAGCGAAAATATATTTGTTGTACAAATGATACGCAATAATGTAATTGTTTATATTTTGATTAAATTACTTTGATACATGCCTGTTTGATGAATGTGATTTGATACATGCGTGTATGTGTGATTATAAGGATCGATTAGATGTTAACAGAAATTCTTTGAAATTTCTCATAAAGTCTCGAAGCTAAGTTTTTAACTATTTCCATAAAATGAAAATATCCATATATTTGATAAGACCATATTATATCTAGCCAATCAAACAAATCGAAAATTTTTTTTCACTAAGTAAGTTATATTGATAGTAATTCTTTAATCCATTTAATATAACTTTTTAAAAACTTGTGTAATTAATAGGTATTGGATCGAGCAACATAATTTCTCTTCTCAATATCACAGAGTAAGATTTTTGAACAAAATATTCTATGCACCATCAATTACTGTAGGAACTATCTCATACTATGACTTTTCGTAGATGTGAGACGTAATCCTGCGCTGAACCTTCCAGTATTATTTTAAAGTGAACTATTACTATTCCGGAAAAAGTTTGTAAAACTTTTTTTGCACACAGAATGTAATTCCTAGCAAAAATTTCGAGCGATAAGTATTGAAAAACTTGAAAGATCGACATAGCTTTATATATGGTATATGTTGTAAATAATTATAAAAGCAATTGTTGATACGAAGAATGAATTTGTTTGCAATAGAATATGAGCAATGATAATGATTGTGTCACTGAACTAGCAATTATATCTCATTCATGCGAGATATATTTAAATAGTCAGAAGGTTACAACAAGTTATATGATATAAATAAAGAATTCTTACACTCATTTTGTAACCAACATGAAATATATCAAAAACTTTTTTGTTCAAGATATATATCTAACTAAGACGATGATGTCAATTTATACGAGATAGCTACTGATTCATATAGCCAGTTTCTGTTAGTCATTCTGATGGATTTACATTTTAAGTTTTGGTATCTTTTTCCCTTCTCTTTCCCTTCCATTACTGAATACAGTCTACAACAACTGCATTTTTTTTGTGGGGATCCAGCTCCATTACCTCGAGATACACGAGAAAAAAAAAATGATACCTTGAAATGGAAATCTCGTCTGGGTAACGTAACAGTTGAAGAAGTGGTACAACCAGGTACCACATTTGTTTTCCATTTCAAACCACTTTCAACCATGACATTAATATTGGAACATGATGGCCGCACCGAATTGGTCGCCGCGGTAAATTCGATACTATTTCTACCACTGTTGTTGTCGTTTCCGTTGTTGTTATCGGCCATTCCATCGTTAGTATTGTAGTTATTAAATAACGTCATTATCATTGCCACTTTTGAAGTTGATAGTTTTACTTTTATGATTGAAGTTTCAAATGAAATAAATTAATCTGCAAAATATATGATTTAAAATTTTATGGAATTTTGCTTCGTCAAATTTATAAATCAATTATGGAATTTGATGATGGATGGATAAGAAAATTTTAAAATACTAGAAAAGTGAAGTGCAAAATGAAAGATCTCGAGAAGTACTCCAAATTAAATCTACTGTTAATCAAAAATTAAAATTCAACTACTAAGAATTATCTAAATTAAAGGCGAAAATTTCGTGCTAATGATATCTCTACTTCATAAATTAGTCGCTATACGTAAATATTAATAACTTATCACAGTGATAATCTATATGATAGAGTTCAACAAATTGCAACTGAACTAAACAGATAATGTAATCATGTGCAGAAAGAAGTATGAAATGAAAAAGAGAAATGTAAGGGATTGAAGGAATGAAATGTGATCACGAATTGAAATTCATAGGAATTAATCATTGATATCTTGAGATTAACTATCTGAAGTGACTGATAAAAATCAATAATTGCATGATTAAGCATTTTGTTCAATTTAAAAGTGAAATTTTTTGAATGCCTATAAAAGTAATTTTTCTAAAATCATCAATGAGCCCGAATGAATAAACATACTACTACAATTGATGATGCAACTTTTGAATAAACTGAAAGACAAGAATTCGATTGGCTCCGCAGGCGTTATAGGTCACTACTCTATTACTGTTCGTCAACTAATGTTGTACCTATCAATCAATAATTTTTGTGGAACACAACAAATATAAAAAAATCATTTTCAAAATAATAAATTTTGAATTGATAAGGAATGAAGATATTAAATAACTTCATGATAAATATAGTGATAAAGTGAATTTCAAATATCTTTGGAATTTTATTTAATCATTCTTTCATCTGATAAACGATTTACAAATGAAATAGATATGAAATATTGCAACGAATTCTTCATGAACTCAAGAAAAAAAAGTATTTGTCCCATTATTGAAATAGAAATGGAAGTGATTGCATTATCGTTTATCAGAAGGAATGATAAAGGAATCAGAAGGAATAATATCAATAACAATAATAGCAACAAATTATCAGTTTGTGGGCGATAATTACAATTGCAACGAAAACGATCATCTTTCGCACAATGATATATTATACAAATTTTGAGAATATAAAAATAAAAAGTTTTAAATTAATTAATAAAGGAGAAATAGGTAAGATCAATATAACTATTCAACACTAATTAACTATATTTATAAATAATAGATTCAACAAAATAATTTGTAATTCAAATTTTTGCAAATTTAATTAGTACCAAAAATTTAAGAATGAGAGAAAGGAAAAGTTTTGCAATATTGGAAGAACATATAATTGATATGTAATTACTTTTAAAAATTAGATAGAACTATTATATTGAACAATAATCTTTCACTAAGAGGTCGATGATATGATAGAAGTGACGATGGAGCACAGCAATATCGTATCACTGAGAAGAGTTGCTTTTAACCACAATGATAGAGATGGAGACAAAAATGAAGAGAGTTCCAGAGAAGTGCAAGAAATTTCAAAGATAAATGTGTGACCTTTCTGGTCGATTGACGTCCATCATTTTACTGGTTTCACCTGATCCACATACTTTCTGAACTTCTCTGGAGCAATAGGCGTTTCTTGTTCCAATAATTTTGAAAGAAACTTTGACCTTTCAAGAAATTTCCAACCAGATTAAAAAATATAATTTACATTAGAAAGATGATCAATCAAAGACTTTTCAAAATGGAATAAATTTAATAAAAATTTTAAGAATTAATGAATGCTCGAAAATTTGTAAATATTAGAAAAGAAAACAAAATCTTAGTTTGATAAACTTTCAAGTGTTGAATTAGAATGATAAAAGAAAGGTCAGTTACTATTTCAAGATTGAATATGAAAATTTAGATTTGAAATGTCGTAAAATGTAGCAAAGTTGTGATATCCATAAGTATTTATTGATTACAACAAAAGTAATGAATAATTTTTAGCTAACGATTAAATAACTTTGATTGCATAAACAATGAAAGGCGAGCTGTTCAGAAGAGACTTTTGATAATAACTACGATCTTATGATAAAAGGATTAATGATAAGTAAAGTGATATAAACGTGATATATTTTGGATCAAAATAATCACTACAAATTTTACTCAACAGTAGAAATAATAAATCTATCATGGAGACGAAGAAGAAATGATCGAGAGCTATTCGACATAAATCAACTGAATTTTTAAATGAAATGATGTTCGTTCATTCTTTCGATTTTTTATTACTAAATAAGTTAGTGCCACAACTTCCACTTCATCAATTTATTTTCAAATACTGATAGATCAAAAGTGATCGAACAACACAACAATAATGATCGTGTTTTTTTTTCCATCAAGAAAGCATTAATTTTTATCACTTCAATTTACTACAAAACGTTACAACAATGAAAATCCGATTAATATCGATAAAGTAGTGCGAAGATTATAAAATAAATCAATGAGGATATCTGTAGAGTATGTGATAATGAAATTATCGAGTGATATTACGATTAATACCAATAAAGCAGTGAGAAGATTGTAATAAATCAATAAGGATATCTGTAGAATATGTGATAATGAAATTATCGAGTGATATTGAAGAATTCTAAAATTAAAGAAGCAGCAAATAGACTGCTAAAGATAGCTCTTGAAATCAACCTCAACAGGCATGGCATAGCATGGCATGGCATATTTATTTGTTCAACATGAATATAATAATTGATTAATTCAAAATATACCAATCATTTCTTGCAAATGAAGAAATCATTTCAAAGTCTATTAGGAAAATTTTTCAAAATGATTCATCAACCAACTAGAAGAGAAGAAATTTTAAACATCGAAAAACATTCTCATTATTTACTTCATATGAACAATTTCCTCGTTCATATTATGAATATTTTTACAAATTACTGTTTATTGTTCTAAGAGATGACTAATAAAGAGCATATCATCATTTATTTATGATCAATCATCTCTCTCTCTCTCTCTCTCTCTCTTTCTCCTCTCTGTTTTTTTAATTGATAAAAAACAAGAGAAAAATAAAATTCAATGATTGACAAAAAAGATCAAGTAACCAGTATCAGTAACAGTTGTTCTCATCCACCAAATACCTTTCTCTGAATACCCCCCGAACAATTTATTCTTATTCTAAAAATAGACAAAAGAGAAATTAGTAAACATGAATCATATAGACTGATAACAATTACACTCTCATTCTTCTTCTACTGTTGCTATCCGGAAATTGAAATAAAAAAGTTTCATTAAAATGTAAAAATTTTACTAATTAATTGTTAATATAACTAAGCTTACTTCTTCATTAGTTATATAATTTAGTTTTTAAATTAGTTAAAAAATAAATAGTAATATTATTTTTTTTTATAGAAAATAAGCCAAGCCAAATCAAGCCAAGTCAAACCAAGCCAAGCCAATAACTAAGACACATACTTATTTACTTACTTCTAAATGGATTAAATATGGAAAAGAGATTGATAGAATAGAGAAAATAATTGCAGTTTCTTTTTTTAAAACAAAAAAGCACGTATTTCTAATTCATTCGGAAAAGAAAAGGAATAACAATGGAAAGAGAGAGAGGGAGAGAGAAAGGTAGAGAGAGAGAGAGAGAAAGAGAAAAAGAGTGAAATAAAGTGAAGTGATTAGGCAAGTAAATGATAACACATAAGACTTTTCCGTAAATTGGAAAATGAACGAATTAAATGTAATAGCTTTAAGAATAAATAATTGATGGCACATTTCGAACTAATTCTCGAAATGTGACATCGTCGTTCCTTTCTTTTTCCTGTAAAATAAGCTACCATAAAAGGAGACAAACTACCATTACTCAATCCAAGATCTAACTATTAGTTTCGTTTCACATAAATGCCTGATATATGATGTATCCTTTCACTATCTTTCTCTCTCTCTCTCTCTCTTAGAACTCTTTTTTCATCATCAACAAAAAAACTGAAGAAAATACAAGCATATAATTAACTGAAATACTCATTAGATTGTTGCCATTTGATTTAAGTATATGCGAACTTGAAGAATGAAATGAAATTGGTAAGGAAGGTAAAAAGTGACGGATAGTGAATTGCATTTTAAATGAGTAAGTTGACAGGATAATTGAAATCAAATACATATTTATATACATCTGACTAATCATATTTGAAATTAAATACATATTTATATACATCTGACTAATCATATTTGA